TCAAGCATCGTCTGGCCTTGCCGTACCCGCACCTTACCCGTGCTGAGTGAGATGCACTAATTGGCCACGCCCCCACGCCCCACGCCCCATGCGGACGCCCTGGCCCCTCTTCTCTTCTCCTTTGGGTCCGGCTTGGTGGCGGCCTGGTACAGGCTTACAACCTTGGAAGCTGTGGGTGGGTACCTGGTACGTACCGAGGAGCAGACACGGACAGCATTCAGCCCACTGTCCCGGTATTGCAGTACCAGACCAGTCGTCGACACGGGCTGGCTTGCTTATTAGTAGCACCCACTGTAATAGCTTTTCTTTTCTTTTCTTTTCTTTTTTTGGTTCAACATCATGTTTTCCATTTGATGTTTAAAATGCAGCATGAAAACAGACAGACTTGTGAGCTGAGTGCCATGCCCGCAGACTGCCATGACTACTGGATTGACCCATTCCTCGCTCGTTAGGTGGCTGCATGGTCCAGCGCTGTCTGGTATGTCTGGCCAGCGACCACTACCGCGACAGCCGACTTGCGACAAAATAGAGCTCCTCCCCTCCTCTTCCCCCCGGCAAATTGTAACCCGTGGAACATGAAGCCACTGAAAGCATGCGTGCCAGCCCAGGTGCACCCAGTGCCAACATCTCAGCCCGCCAAGGTCGTCCCCTCCAGGCAGTGCCAAAGCCGAGCTGGCTACCCACATGCACCAGGCACCAGGCTGTCTGCTAGGTAGTATCGTACAGCTCGTCCGCCCGCCCACATGCACCAGACCAGGCCGGACCACAGCAGACCAGATGTCTTCCATCGGGGGTCGGCGGTAGCCACTGGTGCAAGTGTGTGCGAGTGCGCCTGCGTCTGCGCGTGCTTGTGCTTGTGCATGTGCATGTGCCTGGTGTGCGTTATCCGTACGACGATATGTATTTACATACATATGTACATATGTATGTATGTACTCATTTATGTACTACCTACGGTTTTGTGTGCGTGCTCGTTTGTTGCTCGTCCATGTCTTTTGATACTCTCTCCGTAGCCCAGCCCAATCCAGCTGGCCGAGCCCACCCTTACCCCCCCCCCCCCCCCCCCCCCCCCCTCCCCCAGCCCATCCCATCCACCCACCCATCCACCCGCCTGGTTCCTTTCCCTCGCCCTCCTCTTGTTCGACCCCATCGGCCGTCATCTCCATCGCAGCCCCGGAAAGCTATCCATCTCTCCTTCTCTCCTTCCTCCTCACAACTCACCCTGTTCGTTCGGCCGTGCTTTGTGCAGAATCACAACTTTTTGCTCTGGCTTGCTTTCATCCTCTCTTCTTTCAAACTGTGCTTATCCTATTCATTGCTGTCCCTTTGGGGACACGAGCAGTGAATTTGCTTCCGTATCCCTCTGTGCCGGGCCATTCTCCTGGTCCCCGACTCGCAGCCCACACCGGCCGACGAGCACCATTCACCAAAGACGACGACGCACGCCATCGACTTATTCACAATAACGACAGCGACAAACAGGACACTACCGAGCTTGTTGAACAACGTAAATTCGAATATTCAGCTACAAAACCTCGAACCACTGTCGCTTTTTACGATTGCATACTTGCTTCGCTCTCCCAGACTGCTTCTGCTCCAGCGAACTGGCTGCACATTAGCCGCCCTTCCTCCCACGACTCTCCATAGCCCGCCCCGATCCGCCTCACGATCATACCCAAACAATTAGAAGAAAGAGGAAAGGAAAAAAAAAAACAAGATGCCGACTGTTATGGATCCTCTCAAAATCCCCGAAAGCGGGTTGACGCTGACGGGCCCTTCCAACTCCGAGTTTGACTTACCGCCACAAGCCTTTGTCCTGAATCTGAATGACGATGTTGTGGCGCAAATGGTTAGGAGTGCCCAGATGGGAAATGGCCTGGAGCTTCAACTGGGAAAGACGCCGGTATGTCTTCAGTACGACCGTGGTCGTTTTTTCTTTGTTTCTTTCTTGTTCTTCGTCTGCTTCGTCTTCTCTGCCTTTCCTCAAGTTGTGGGCTTGTGACCATGTGCCTCGTTGCAGTGACACATGACAAACCTGTGAAACCCACTCCTAAGGATTGCCCCCCCCCCCCCCCCCCCCCCCCCCCCCCCCCCCCCCTCTCCCAAATTGGTGCCTTTGGCATTTACTGACATTCAGTGCCTCGCGCAGACTTTGCATTACGGCGCACAGTCGCACCGAATAGCGCGACCCGGGGACGACTTTCCCATTGATATCTTTCTAACAAAGCCCTTTGAATCGACTCGACGTGCAGATCGCCTACCGCAAGCTGGGAATCTCTTCACCAAACTCAAGTCACCTCAAACAGCACCGAAGAAGGCTGTTCAGGTTAGCAAGGATGAGGAAACCCAGAAGAAGCCTGCCGTATCAAGCAAGAATTCAACTTCGACAGCACTCGACTCGGACATCGAGGCGTTACAGAATGGACTTGCTGCCCACGACGCGGCTCGTGATCGGTAAGTCTTACTACCGGTGCAAGTTGGCCTGAAATCTTTTTTTTTCTGTTCCTTTTTTTTCTTGGTTTTTTTTTTTACACCATTTGTGCTCATGGATTTCCTAGTGCTCGTGTTGTAGCAAAGCCACCCATCGCTGGGAAGGGCAGGAACAAGCTGCTGTCCAACAAATATGCCTCTACCTCTACTCCCAAGTCCATTACCACCTCACCTGCCGTGAATGGCGTCCGCTCGCCAACTTCGACACCTCAAATAACGGCAACCCAACAAGTGATGGAGAAAAAGAAGGAACAAAGATTCACCCTGGTCCACGAACTCGCCATTGCAGCACAAACCACGGAATATCTCAAGGCGAAATGGACCGGCAAGGAGGAAGATTTCAGGCCCACACTAGAAAAGACGGCCAGTTACAATAGTGACTCGCAGACATGGACCATGAAGCAACCCTGGTGGCGAGAACTCAATGTCTGGAAGTATAATTACGCCACGAAAGAGGACCGAGAAGCCGCGATTGACAGAGCGATCCGGCAGTACGACAAGCTACGACTATCGGCTTCGGAAAACGAGTGGCAGCTCTTGCTACCAACGGCAGAGCGAGGCCAGGGCAAGTGTTTGAGTCGACTTCAAGCGAATATCGCCAAAGGACCGCCTCAGCAGGCTGCAAAGGTCAAGGGACAGAAGACGGATGACAACTCTGGCTCCAAGGATGACGCCGATAGCCCCGAGAGTGACAAGCCAAAGACTGGAGGCGAGAGCATGTCGCGGTCCAACTCGTCTACCCTGCCGACAACAAAAGCAAAGAAGCCCAGTGCTCAAGAGGCACAGGTCAAAAGGCTACTTAGCAATTCAAAATCCAAGACGAGCGCACCCAAGACATCTCCTTCCAAGCCCAAGCAGCCGAGCGTCAACAAGAACGAAAAGAACGACAAACGTGTTCTCTCAGCAGCCATTGTCGAGAATTCTGATTCTTCCGAAGGCGAGATCCCTGTGGCCAAGACCAAACCGGGTCGTGCGACGTCCAAGGACACGTCCAAGCCGACGGTCAAGGACAGTTCCAGCGCGGCCAAGGACACGTCCAAGCCGACGGCCAAGGACAATTCCAGCGCGGCCAAGGCCACTCCTAGCACGGCCAAGGACACTGTTGTCGTGAGCACCACCCGGCCATCGGTATCGGTAACACGAGAGCCGGTCAAGAAGCCACAAGCCGTTAAGCGGCCCAGGGACGAATCCGACTCCAGCTCCAGTTCTGGGACGCCATTATCGAAACGGATCAAGCCGAAGCAGTCACTACCCGCTCCGAAGCCCAGGGCGCCTGTCACCAAAACGAATTACCACAGCCAGTCGACTCGTGTGTCCTCTACGACATATCGAGGCAAAAACACGACCAATACATCGCCAACGAAATCATCACCGCTGGCCTCCTCACCACCTACCAATGCTTCCGACTTGGACGAGCCGGCACCACCTATTTCGAAGAAACGTAAAATGGAAATGGAGAGCAAGTCCACGAGCAGCAAACGCAGGGCTGTGGAAGCTGTGCCTGCCGATGTGCTGAACAAGGCACATAAGTTCAAGACATTTTATCAAAAATACGAGGCGCTGCATTACGAGATTTCGGCATTGGATAACCCTCCCCACGAGAAAGTGGCTGATTTAATAGATATGCGAAGTCGACTAGAGAACATGAAGAAAGATATCTACAAGCAATGTTCGCCACGCCGAGAGTAAACGGATTTAAGAGAACCAGAAAAAGGAAGAGGAGTTACGAAGTCTTTGGACATTATTATTTGCACTCTTACTTGCCCTTTTTTTTTCACACATACAGTTCACACATACAGACACACACAAGATGTTACTTTTTTTTTGAGACCAAACCCTTTACTCTGCGTGGCGAACATTGCTTCCGACTCCAGCTCCAGCTCTGGGACGCCATTACGATGTTTTATGCTCAATACGGATTAGGAGCGAGTTTGTTGATTTATTTTAAGATTTGTTTTTCTTTCTTTTTTCTTTTTTCCTTTCGTCAAGCTTTGAAAATTTTAGGACAGCACCAGGGCGTACAGGATTTGGAGCTTTGCCATGAGCATCAAGGGCCAGGGACCAAAGATATTGATTGCACGTATAATGGCTAAGGCTGAAGATGACAGACAGAAAAGTAAGCAGATGACATGATCAGGAGCCAACTCGCCTGGGCTGAAGGAGGACACGACTCCACGTGTGTACGCTGCGGCATGTTTTTGATGGGATTGATTTGGGTTTTTTATTCCTTTCTTTTTCTTTTTGATACCACAGCTGGGGTCTGACGTAAACAGACAAGGCACTTGAGCAGAATACTAGGGACTAAAAAAGACGTCTTCACTCGACTTTTCCGTACATGATTATGACTGGAGTGAATGCGGGTTATTTTTTTGCTGTTTAAGTAGGATTTGGTCGGCGTTTAAAGGTGTGAAGGTGGTAGTGATTTCAACAGGGTGCTGTGCTGTGGTGGTGACTGAAATAAATTCGCGTCCTTGTTAGGTCTATTTTACGGTCGCTGTGTCAACAAGTTGGGTGAGATGGCCGAGTTGGTTATGGCGTCAGGTTAAGGTCCACAACCTCAACGAATCATTCCTGATGGAGAAATCCGCCTGGGTTCGAGTCCCAGTCTCATCATTCTTTTGCTCTTCGAGCATACTTGTTTTTTATTTTCTGATTTTTTATTTGGGTGAGTGTTGTCGTCGAGACTTGCAGACATCTTGCAGACATTTGAGCAACGTCCGCCTTCAGGTCTGGATGGCTCACCGTCAGGACCACACAATGGGAGCTGACTTGACATTTTCACCGCCAAGAAATGGTGTTGCTGCTGCGCGCGATGGATGATTGGACTCTGGAGTCTGGACGCTGGCTTGATGGATCACGGCACATATTCGCGGCACATGATTGGTTCCTGAAGACCCCCCGTCAACTTCATCTTCAGCAACACCTGCAACTCCCTCCATGCCTTGCTCTGCTTTGCACATCCTCTATATGTCCATTTCGGCTTTCAAAACACTGCTATTGTAACCTGCACGCTTGTTCAAACCCCCCGCCAAGCCACCGAGGCCTTTGCCCGAAAAGGAAAGAAAACTGATCGTCATGGCCTATGGCAGATCCGCCGACGACATCTCCAAAGCCGAATTCGACGCTCTGGTAGCCGAGTATCCGGCCGTCGTGGAAGCCATATCCAGAGGCAAGGCTGGTATGTCCCATCGTCCATTTCCCGTTCCTTTTTCTTGCGTTCCACTCGTTGGAGTGAGTGTTGCTTGGGTGTGTCGCTGCCCGGTTCATGTCATGGCTTGCTTGGCAGACGGGAAGGATGGTTTGCAGCTTTTTTTTCTGAAATAAAAGATCCAAAAATGGTGATGAATGAAATAAAAATAGAAGATAAAACAAACAAGTAAAAAAAAAACACAAAATACATAAGCAAAAAAAAAAAAAGACATATATATGTAAAAACAAAGCAAAACACACAAGCAAAAAAATAAATAAATAAATCAAGTATAAAATAATTTAATAAGCAAAAAAAATTAAATACATGACTAAAACACATAATCTCAAGTAAATACATATGTACATACATCACCACATAACAACACACAAAACTAACCACCCACACACACGAACAGTCAAGCCCGGACAAAAATCCCTCCGGGAACTAGACGCCTATCGCTACGGCGAGGCCCTCGGCACATTTGGGGCTGAGGATGCTCCGGAAATGACACTTGCGGAGGTGCAAGATCTGGTGGAATGGAAACTGTACGCTCCTTGTGGCCAATCAACCATATATAGGGACGCCGTTGAAACGAGAAAAAAACGATGTACATAAGAAACAAGAAAAGAGAAAAAAGGAAAAAAAAAAGAGAGGAGAGAGGAGAGAAGGAAGAAAATGAAATAAAAGTTCAATACTGACACCTACCCAAAGCCGCCACGGTACATTCCGCCCAACGCTCATGAAGCTCGTCTCATCCAACGACCCCCAAGCCACCAAAAGGACCATATCCTCCGCCGTCGAAGCCTACCGCGCCAGGAGCAAGTCCCGCCCCGCCCAGCAGGATATCAAGGCCGCCGCCGCCGTCCGAGAAGCCGTCGAGGCGCTGACCGCACTGCGGGGTATCGGGCCGGCCACGGCGTCGCTGCTGCTCAGTGTGCATGACCCGCGGGGAGTGATTTTCTTTTCCGACGAAGCGTACTGGTGGGTTTGTTGCGGGGGGAGGAGGGATGTTGTTATGCGGTATAGTGGTAAGGAGTATGGGGTGTTGTGTGAGAGGGCGGGTGGGTTGGTGAGGAGGCTGGGCGGGGGGACGGGGATGGTGGATGTGGAAAAGGCGGCGTATGTGGCCATGAGGAGGGGGGGGGAGGCTGCGAGGATGGGAAGGAAAGCTGATGAGAAGGGAGTGGATGTTAAGACTGAGGAGGAGGAGGAGGAGGAGGAGGAGAAGGCTAAAGTCGGCGAGGCGCCCAACATGAACAAGGAAATGACAGGCATGAATACACCTGAGGATGGACACGCACAGTCGCGTAAAAGAAACGCTTCGCGAGTCAGGCACACGGACTCTCCAAAGGGAAAGGTGACAAAGAGGGAGCAAGTCGAGCAGGCTGAGCCATTGAGGCGATCGAAGCGACTGAACCGCTGAAGTAGACAATGATGAGTTCATGTCCACGTACAGTCAATGTGGGTTGTCTACTTATACAATACGAGACCAGATGAAGACGAGCGGACGGATACCAGGCCAGTCTGCTGAGTCAAGGGGCTCTATCTGCAGCAGCGTTGCGGCATCCTCATGAGTTGTGGGATTGGTCTTTACTTGACACGTTGTGATGGTCGGTCTTGGATGACCAAACTCTGCGTCGGTGGCGTCGCAGAACCCTCATGAGTTTTGGGGTCGGTTTTCAGTTGGCATGCTGTGCTAGCTGGTATTGAATAACCAGCTCTGGGAGCGACCACAGGTCATTGCGAGGTGTATCCCACCAGAAGGCTAAGCAATTATATTATATAATTTTTATTTATTTTCATTATTACTGCTGCTATTATGATCGGTATCAATTTCTTCGTCTCGCCACGTCCTAACTCTTAAACACCCCCAGGTCAACGCCCGTGTTGGGCCAGCCACCTTTAAAGTCCGGACGAGATGGAACAAACTGCCCGTTTCCAAGACGTAAGGCGTTGAAAGCTGATTTGGAGCAGATGCCGAACATTTGCAAGTCAGATGGCGTCTTGGCAATCCAATGCATGACATCTATAGATGGTTAGTGAGAGATAATACACACAAAAGTTGAATAGGTATCGGTCATCGGGATGAAATAACAGAGGGAAAAACGTACTGATGCATTTCCATGGATCCTGGTCTGGCTTGCCGTCGCAGGCGTCATAGCCGGGTCCGCGGAAGAAATCCCACGTGGCACTGGCATAGTGACGGATACTAGAGCCACCGGTGATAAAGTTGGAAAGGCCTTTGCGGCAGTATCCGTCATCTTCGCCACACCACGAGAAGTCGGGGTCGTTCCAGCCTTGCACGTTGGCTTTCCAAGGCGCGGGAGGAACTTGCCGCGCATAAGAGCCCTGGTCGTAGTTGGTTTCCGCCTGTAGCATAGACACAAAGACGTTTTGGGACTCCCAGAGGTTAAGCTGGTATAGCCACCAGTGCTCAGCACCTAGAGCGTGGAGCCAAGTGCCCTTGGTTGCTTGGACGAGAACACCCCCCTTGGCGGCAATGTTGCAGCCGCCTCCGCCCTCGGAGTTGTGGTCCGCCACCCAAACCCAGGTGTTTTCGACGTAAGCCGAAGAGGACTTGGTGAGATGAAGCCCAATGAAGGCGCCTTTACACTCATTGCTAGCATCGTCACAGCCATTGTTAATGCCCTCAGATCCCGCAGTGCCGCCGACTGTGATGAGGGAGTTCCAGATGGCAACATCGCCAGGAGCGTGTCCTTCCATGTTCACTTGCACGAGAATGGCGCCGGCAAGAGGTTCGGCAACGGTGATTCGCATGTCTTGGATGTGTGCGATACCTTTGTCTCCCTTCTTTCCAACGGAGACTACGGGCTTAGGGTTGCTCTCATCCTTGAAGTACTTGCCGCTTCCCATGATGGTAGACCAGGCTTCACCGACAATCTGCGTGCCAGGCGGAATGTAAAGGGTTGAGTCGACGCGATATTTGCCAAACGGAAAGTAGACAATCTTGCCTTTCTGCGCGGCATACCGAAGAATGTGGTTGAGCACGTCAGCCTCATCAATGGTGTTGTCACCACGCACTTTGTGGCCGCCGTTCTGGTTGGGATCCTTGACGTTGATGAAGTCGTCAACAGTCTTGTCACTGTAGTTGGGAGCAACTATGGCGGGATACCCGCCGTCTTTCAGCAAGGCGCTGGGGCGGTTGCTAGCACCGTCGGTAGTTGGACCGTACACAGGGCTCCGGCCATAGGTGTTGGCGTAGGTAAACTGATCAATATGTGATGGTCCGCCGACAATGACAGGATTGTTGTCGTTCCAGACCACAATATCGCTCTTGGTATCCTTGGTCAGATTCTCGATCAATAGAGAGGGATAATGGCTTGTCTGGAAAGTGATGCCAGAATTGACAGATTTACAGTCAATAAGGGCGATCCAGGGGCTACCGTCGGTGTGTATGACAGCAGATTCAACTTGCTCAAATGTAGAGGCTGTGATGGTAATCACACTGCCCCCTTGGATCCGCATACCGTTTGTGTTTTGGTAAAAGTGAATGTTCTTGTAAGCCATTTGCTGGTGGTCGTTGTGGAAAATGCCGTTCCACCCTCGCTCGACACGAACGTCTGAAAGACCAAGTGAAGAGCCCTGGCCAACCCAGACGCCGGTATGACCATTTGTTTTGCCAGACGTTGGCATGATGATTCGAACGTTCTGCATCTGGGATCCCTGAGCGACCCGCCAGTTCACGGCCTTGAAATCCTTATCTATGAAGAGGTCAGTTATGGTTCTGCTTAGAAGTACCTCCTCATATTCAATAACTTGTCTCGGACTTACTTCCGTCGATATTGGTTGTATCGATAATCAAGTTTTTCAAGCCAATTGTGAATCCGAGCTCGCCACCACTAACATGGTCCTGATCGAAACCTAGAATTAAACGGAGATTTAGTCAGAGCAAAGCCGAGGAGTATAGAAATTTGCCACTGTCATTCTCTCTCTCACCTTTAATGAGCTGCTGCTCCCCGTGGAAATTTCCAGAGGCTTTGATGACAGGAGGCTAATGTAAAACCCATCCAGATTAGACCAGAGAAGTCAAGAGAGATGGTGATTAAACATTTCAACATACGTTTGTGGCGTCGCCCATCAAGATGGTGCCAGTCCTCATCTTGATCTGACTGCTGACCTCATATGTGCCTGGCGGAAGATAGACGATCTAGAAGAAAAAGCCGTTAGCGGATACCTGATGCAGTTGTGCATGTTGCTTCGTAGATTTCCAGGTATCCATCGGTTTTGGTTTCCGATTCCGAGTTTATTTTTGCGCCATCACTCACTCTTGTCTGAGAAGCCCACCACTGAGACCTTCGCTCCCGACCCTGATTGTCATCAATGGCCTTTTGAATGGCGTTCCCGTCTCCTGCATTGACGGCCATGTAGACGGGGTACGTGAAGTCATTATCGAGATCAGGAG